GCTATTGCAGTCGGCCTCCTGACGTCACGCCTCCCACTACCACACTCCCGCCTGGCTTAATAGTTTTGAATGGTTGTTATAGGTTTTGTTCTTGTATTTATTGTATTTCGTCGGCTTAAGATGCAAATGGCCTAACTCCAGTTTTTTTCGAAAATTTATTTTATTGCTTATCCGGTAGCTAAAGGTCTATTTTGTCGGTTTTGGTCTCTTCCCTAAAAAAAAATTGTGAGTTAGGCCATTTTCATCTTAAGTCGACGATTTGATGCATTTATTAGTTTATAATAAAGTGTATTTTGTTTCCTTTAAATTTGTAATTAAATCTTTTGCTACAAAATCTCTCGAAGTAACATTTGTTAAAAGGTTAGTTTGTTTACTTAAAAAAAATAGTCTTAAATTTTTGGTAAATAACTTTGAAAGTGCATAAATTTTCAGTAAAAATGAGCAGTATTAAATAACCTATATTCTTTTATAATAGTTTAATTTTACATAACAAAAATAAATAATTTAATGCCACTATAGTATACTAAATATGCTCATTTTCTAAAACACCCTTTATAATTAAGTTTCTACTCATCCAATTTATTTATTTTATATATTTTAATCAAAATTAGCACATGTTTACTGTTCCTGCTTAAATTCATCAACGCACGTACACCAACGCGCGCACATATACGAAGGTGTGGAGGCAAAACATTGTTTGTTTTAAGACTTTTTCAGTGTCGGGCATAAATTATTTATTTGGTTTGCATTAATTTTTTTGGTTTAAACAATTGCGTTGAGCATGGCTAATTTAAGATCTTTTTCGAAAGATTTCATCATAGAGTTTATTGAATTATACAAGTCTTTTTTATGTTTGTGGAAAACAAAGTCACAGGAATAGGTACCTCTATGAATTGAAACCAGAAACATCACTACAAGCTCGAACCCAGCGACGACCGATACTTTTTTATTTTTTTCAATTACTTGGTACCTATTTTAATTTTTTTACTTGTCATTTAATATTTAAGGTTATGATATTGATTTGATTATAAATACTCTTACTTCGGTCCAACCATACTTTCACTTAAACTAAACACTTCCACTTCCACTCTCCAATTGGTAATATTTTTGTTAAATTTCTTAAAACTTTTCTCACCAAAAACTTGAAATAAGGTTGCTAGATATTACTACAACTTAACCTTTAATTTTGTATTATGATACGATTTATGCGCAGTACTTTCCGGATGATCGTACCCATGCGCAGTATATGACCGAACAGCAGCGAAGAGTATTTAATAAAATTGAACATTAAACATTTATTCGATTTTGTTACGGGCCGATAAAAGAAAAGCTTGTTTCTTATCTAAAAGGAAGCATTAAAAAGACTGGGCGCTGAATTTTTTTAAATTCATTGTACATAATTGTTCAATAAATAAATATTTTACAGGGGTTAGTCGCAAACAAATGGGTCACAAAGGGTGTTTTAAATTTAAAAAAAAGATTCATTTATCTCCACCACATTTACGAGATCATTTTAAGAGAAGTCTGTGAATTGTGATGGCCGACAACTAGTGGTCCAAACGTACCAACTATTTCAGTTTAATCATTTGGATCTACGGTATGATTTTCTCAAGAAAAGTTCCGAATTGTGGAAGGTGCCCTTGTGGAAATTTTTCTCTGAAAAATTTTAATAAGTAAAAATACACAGAGAAAAGTAATCTCTTGATTTAAGAAAATGCATTTATTTGAAACAGTTTTTCTTGTATGAAGTAAAATTGTCTTATTCGTAGTAACTTCTTGTTTACAATAAGAAAATACTATTATTTGGTTGTAAATCATGAGTTTCTTGAAAACAACTTATTGTTGTGATTAATTGTAAAGAAATATTTATTTAGAGCAATTAATTAAATTGTTTGGATATAGGTTGTAGGGATTTAGTTTTATCAAATGTTAATACAAGCATATAATATCTTATTTTAACAAAATAATAGAATTGATACAAGTAAATGTTTTGTTTCTTTAAGTAAGATAAAAAGTCAACTAAATATTTACTTGTATTAAACAAACCATCAGTTTAAAAAGTCAAATAAACCCAAGTTTTCCACTAAATAAATATCTTCTTGTATCATATCGAAATAAATAATTTATTTGAGTCAAGACAGATATACTAAAATCAAGAGATTACTTTTCTCTGTGTAAGAGTTGTAAAGTCTTACTTTCTCTTAAAAAGTCTGAATAATACTTATTAAGTCGGAAAAAGTCAGAATAAGACTTATTAAGTCGGAAAAAGTCTGAATTAGCAAGATTTGGGAGTCTTAAGAATTAATAAGACTTTTTAAGACTTAATAAGACTTTTAGCAGAAAAATGGTAGGAACCTAACTACAGCGATTAAAATAAATATCCGGAATTATTCAGAGAGGTTGTATTTGATTATTATAAAATAAAACATAAAGAAAAGTATTTATTAACAATTTGCCGGGGTGATAATAAGCCAAGTTTATTGCATAATTACCTATATTATAACATATGTAAGGTGTAATAATTATAACAATTATAATTTTTTACATGCGATGCTCTTGATTTGCTTTTATTGTTGCCATCATAGAAAAAGGATGCCATTGTACTGTTTTAATAGTTTCTTTTTAAACGCATATTTTCATCTAATCCAAGCACTTTTTAGACGCAATATCGATTTTCTCAGCTCACCAATTAGAGCACAGCTGATCATGTGATGGCATCTTCCCGCGTTTTCAAGATAGCTCTCCTGTCACTTCTTACCAAGTGTTGCCGTTTGCGGGTATTTTACTCGGAAATCGGGTATTTTCCTCATGTTTGCGGGTAGAATTTTGAAGCGGGTAAAATTGGATATTTTGCAAATTTCGACCAAAATACTAACTGAAGATATTTTCAGTAAATAATATTGTATGTTTACTAAAAATGCATAATTATTTTATTCTATATAGGATATCCTGTTACATTTTTATTTACTTATATAACAATTTTAAATTAATTTAATTATTTTTTTAACAGGGCGAATGCGCTAGTAAATTTAAAATATAACTAGTTGTTTTAGTACCTATTTTGTATTTTTGGTCGGGAACTTCGGCAACAGTGTATAAAACACATAAAGATCAACCATATTTGTTTTATGAGTTTTATAAACTGTGTTCGACTGTCGACCATATCATGCCTATGCGTTGAGACGAATTGTTATAGTTATTATACCTTATATATGTACTTAATCAACAAGGGATCTGTATGTACAAAAACCAAACGTCTCCCAACTGTTAAAATAAAGTTTGTTTACCTGTATTACCTGCTTCCGTGTTTTTATAAGCCTTATAACAACACAAAAACAGTGTTTATAAATCCTTTTCATTGTGCTTTCTTTTGCAATAATCAAATACAACATCTGAATAATTCCGGATATTTATTTTAATAGCTATAGGTACCTACCATTTCTCTGCTAAAAGTTTTATTAAGTCTTAAAAAGTCTTATTAACTCTTCCAGAAGACTCATAAAACTTGCTTATTAGTCTGACTTACTAAGACTTATTCAGACTTTTTCCGACTTATAAGTCTTATTCTGACTTTTTCCGACTTAATAAAGTATTATTCAGACTTTTTAAGAGAAAGTAAGACTTTAAAAACTCTTCTTAAAACTTTCTAAAAGGGTGCATACCACTTTCTAAAAATGTCTTTAAGGACTTGAAAGTCATCAATGATATCGCTGAATATGCAGAAGCATTAGTTAAAGAATCTAATTCTTTATTAACGAAGACCAAGCGTTTTTCAACTCGTCCAGCATCATAAAAAGACATATCCCGATTGTCGGAAGCAAAAGTCTTTAAAAGAATCCTTGTCTTTAAAAAAAGAATATAACAAATTTATTTAAATAATTACATACAATAAATTTAAAAAAAAATAGGAACCAAAATTGACTTTTTGCTTCAGCGCCCAGTCTTTTTAATGCCTTTTTTTAGATTAAAAACAAGCTTTTATTGTTATTTTAATATACATCACATTTGCAATTGCAACTAACATTAACCCAGATAGCACCATTCGTCCAATGGACGTCCGTTTAAGATCCATTTTAAGTACATTGGTCCACGGACTAAAAATGGATGTACTATGTACGTCCATATATTTACATCCTTTGTACGATTTTAATGGACGTCCATATAGTGTCCATTTTACGTCCATAATTATTATTACAGAAATGCAAGTTAAAACGTATTGTTGGCTGCATAACAACAGTTATGATCAATCTCACTGACATTCAATCAAGCGCGTGCTATAAAGGACCTAAGCTATCAATGAAATATTAAACACTTGTAGTATTGCAAATGTAATGTTCCTGAGTCGAATACAAGGATTTCCTGCAATGTTCAACATTGAATGTTGTAACTTTTAACAACTTTTAGAATATTTATATTCCTAGTGGGATTGTTACTGAGCCAGACAAAAGGCATTTCAGTCATGTTGTAGAAAATTTTCTGCAACATCGCAATGAAAATACAGTAGCAAAAAAGCAGGTCCTGGATGGTGGAGGAATGGTTCAAACACCTTATAGACGTCCATCGGTGGACGACTTATGGATGTCCAAAGTTGTGACATCTGGACTCTAAACGGATGTCCATGGGACGTCCATAGAAAAAAAATGGACATCCTATGTACATACAGACGTCCACGAGCATACGTCCATTGGACGTCCATAGTATACCTTTGTGCTATCTGGGAATATGACGTAAATTTAAAAACCAACGTAATGTTTTACTTTTATAACGGCAATGTAACATTATAATCCTTCAAACAATAACATAACAACAGCATACAAATTGTAATGCACTAATGTAACAATAAAGTAATATTATTGTTACATTAATACATCACATTTATATTGCAATTGCAACTAACATTAATGTAACGTAAATTCAAAAACGAACGTTAACAACAGCATACAAATTTTAATGCATTAATATAACGAGAAAGTAACATTGTTATGTAACAAAAAAGTTACCCATCAAAGTCAAAAAATTGGACAGAAGCCCAGCCTATTTCTTCTTCTAAGAATTTAGGTATATTATTCTCATTGTCAGTTTCATCTAAGATTCTCCCATGTATAACTAAAACAAGTCTGGATTCCCTAGCTAAAGAATTAATTTTTATATTATCAAATTGAAACCTTAAATAAAAAAGTTTGTAAGTAAGATTACATTCTTAATTTGAGCAATTACTTACCACAAGTCAATTACTATTCGATCGGGCCACATATCATGTTCCTTTTTATACTTGGGGTCATCATACGCAATTTTTGCCAATTCTTTGGATCCATGACATATTCTGGCATCTACATAGTAAGAATGGTATTTCCATTTTATAAGTGGTCGACAAATCAAGCAAACTTTTATTAAAATGGGATCAAGTACGTCTTGTACATAAGTAATATCTAAAAAATATATGGTATATTTTCTATAAAAAACTTGTACAGGGTGATTTAGTAATATTGTGAAAACAATCAGGATAAAAAGAAAAAAGCTCTTCATTAATTTCCGGCTTTGTTTTCGAGATGGTACAATTTTAAAAAATATCTGTTTTTTTCCTATTTTCTTTATATGTTTTTATATGTTTCTTTTAGATAAAACATATTTTTTTTTGGATAAACCCATAACAACTTTTATATTTCTTTACTGTTTTTGCATCTCGCTTCGCTTTAGAGAAAAACAAATTTTGAACTTCTGAAGCAGGTAAAAAATGCACACACCTCAAGAGTTATTTAACAAAACAAAATAAAAATAAAACATTTTTATCAGGAAGTTGTGATGTTGTATTTTTGTATTTTTAAGCAAGGATTTTTTTCTATTTTTTTGAAATAATATTAAATAACCCTGTATAAAAAGCTTATCCCAACAAACTAAAAACCGTGTTCGTAACATTCAAAAGGCAGTAAATGAAAAGTACCTAGGATTGTTGCCTTTTCATTTTTATGTTGGTTTTTTAAAGGTATATTTTGTTAAATTAAAACAAACTAAAACCTTTGTTTTCGAGATGGTACAATTTTAAAAAATATCTGTTTTTTCCTAATATCTTTATTTGTTTTTGTATGTTTTTATATTTTTATATTTCTTTACTGTTTTCTACATCTCGCTTCGTTTTCGAGAAAAATAAATTTTGAACTTCTAAAGCAGGTAAAAAATGCACACACTTTCTAATTTTAGAGATATTTAAGAGAACTAAATAAAAATAATATATTTTTATCAGGAAGTTGTGATATTGTGTTCTTGTATTTTTAAGAAAGGATTTTTTTCTAAATTTTTTTTGTAATAGGTACTAATAAATAACCGTGTATAAAAGAGCTTATCCCAACTAGCTAAAAACCGTTTTCGTAACTTTCAAAAGGCAGTAAATAAAAAGTATCTACCTAGCATTGTTGCCTTTACATTTTTATGTTGTTTTGTAAAGGTACTTTTTGGTAAATTTGGTAACTTGGTAAATAAATAACCCTGTATAAAACAGCTTATCCCAACTAGCTAAAAACCGTTTTCGTAACTTTCAAAAGGCAGTAAATGAAAAGAATCTACCTAGCATTGTTGCCTTTACATTTTTATGTTGTTTTTTAAAGGTACTTTTTGGTAAATTAAAACAAACCTAAATTAAATTGCTCAAATATCTAATTTTAAAATTTTTATTTCTAGTCTAGTATACTAATTTACCTTGCTATAATAATTATTAATCCTTATTAATTAATAAAATCATAGCTGAAAGGCTGCAAAACTTTCGTCTTCGTTCGAAAGCGAACTTCGGCTGTAAGCAAAAAAAGAAAAAGAATCTGTCGCAAAATTTGTCTCAGAAGCAATTTTGACTACTCCGACTTGAAATAATTTCACTTACAAAGAATCTCTATCAGTATTGATTGAAGCAAAATGTAGCAAACACTCTTGTCCATAGACGGACAGTAAAAAAATATTTTTCCGATATCCATCCCTCCCATCACATACTCCGGGAAGCAAAATTAAGTTGCTATCTCCGAAGAGAAGGGCACATTCCTAGGTAAAGTCTAGGGGCACATTGTAATCGAATCGTCTGCAGAAATTTTATTAAAGGATCTCTTATAGAACCCCGAACCTTAATCAATAGAAAACATTGGCGATGATCATGCGATGATGATTGCCTGACATTTTATCGACGTTTAGTCGATCAGTATTAAAATAATACGATAACGTCTAATTTATTTCGGACCCTAATTAATAGGAAACATCGGCGATGTTCATGCAGATAATGATTGTTCGACGTATCTTGCCGACGTTTGGCCGATTAGTATTCAAATTTCTCAGAATAATGACAAATGTATGTATCGGCTCGACTTCGGAAAGATATGTCTAACCTTAATCAGCACACCTTCAACTGCATATTTGTAGTCTATAGCCTGTAGCCGATATTTATAGTAAGCACGCGTGCATAAGCATCGGTGAGATGTATTATATTTATTAATAACTTTTTTTAATAAATTACATTAGGATTTTTTGTAGCAATAAATTTTATTATTGGCCATTTAACTATTAAGTGAACTAATATTTTTTGAATTAATTAATATTTTATTGCTTTTGACATTTATATATTAAGGGTCATACGATTATAATAATAATAATAATAATAATAATTTATTTGCCCCACAGAAAATACATTTCCAATAAAAGGGCAAAATATTAAATGTAAAGGTTATATCAAAACATTTCTTTAGCATGTCGTTGCAACGACTAATATATAATATATAATATATAAGATAAATTAGAAAAAAACATATCACATACATGGCTTATTTGGTTATAGTTATTAGATATAACATGCACTGGTGAGTTAGCTAATATTACAGTACGAGCATTATCGCAGTAGAACATATAGTTATTACGAGAATTTAGTCTAGGAACATATAGATTAAACATTAATAAAATATTACAGCAGTCAATTTCATTGTGAAAAATTTTGTATAAGAATTTTAAACCAGAACAAACTCTTCTAAACTGAAGTGAATCAACATCAAATCGATCAAGCAGTAACTGATGTTCAATACCTTTGGTTGGGTAGATATTATCTAGCCTGAATGATAATAGTTTTAAAAATTTACGTTGAACATTCTCAATCATTATAACTGAGTTATTAAAGTGCGGAGACCAAATTATGGAGCAATATTCAATTTTAGATCTTATCAAGCAAAAATATAAAGATTTTAACGCTGTTTCATTTTTAAATCCTCGAGAGTTCCTGCTTATGAAGCCCAATACTTTAAATGCATGGGAAACTAAATTTTGTATATGAGTAGAGAAGGACAATTTATTGTCAAAGTAGACACCGAGATCATTAATACCATCACAAGAAGAAAGAACATTATTGTTTAAGGAGTATTGAAAAACTGTTGGATATTTCCTTAATGAAAAGGTACATGTTTTGCATTTTTTTATGTTTAAAACTAGCTTGTTTAATTTGCACCATTGATGAACTACATTCAGCTGATTCTGCAGCTCTAAACAATCATCAACATTTGATATTTTGGAAAATAAGTTTAAATCATCTGCACGATACTGAGACGATACTGAGATTTTTCTAAGCGGTAACGAGTCGTTGAGAGGCTTCCGAGCATTGTTTTTCATTAGATTAAATAAAATATTTGTATTTTGATGTATAATAGGTTAGCAATAGAAATTTTGATTTAAATAATTAAAATAAATCGACGACACGTCATTTTATTGTTTGCTGACTTTTAACAATCGGTATAATTTAAGAAAACGAATATTAAAAAAATCAATGTTGGTTCGTCGTACTACCACAGGGTTGCCACCGATTTGTCTAAACCAAATTCCCTCACTTTTCCAGGAATTCCCTGACCTTCCCTGATTTTTTTCCAGACAAAATGTGTCGACGCCAGCAGTTTTCTTTTTGGTTTCCTGACCCTCAATGATTTTTTCATCTGGACTATGAGTGTTGGTTTTTAAAGTATGGGAGCAGTATTTTTGTAATTTTTAACCCCCCCCCCCCTTCCCTTTGTCAGCAAAAGTAAGTAAAGCTTATCATTAAAAATATACAAAAAAAAATCAAAGCAATCAAGCAAAGACCCCTTTGGTGCTTATGATTACATACATACATACATACATACTTGAATTTATTTATTTATTTTTCTCTTGGTGGGGAATTAAAACGATTAATTAAAAAACTCTTATTGAAGTTAAAATTCAAAAACATTAACAAAAAATCAATACTTCTTATTAAAAAAATATATACTTCTTATTAAAAAAAAAACAAACAAAAAATTTTCTGTAGCTATTTTTTTCGGGATAATTTTTAATTTAGGTTTTTGTTTCTTGGGTTTTTATTACATTAATTTTCTGTTCAAGCTGAAAATAACAGAAATAATGAAATTTTTAAAAATGCCTCTGAAATTTTGTCTGCGGCAGGTCTTGTTTATCAAGTTGATGAGTTCTTATCAGTAAATATTTGATAGTATAAAAAAAAAGATTTCATTTCTATCATTTTTTGCAGGAGTTGTTATTGAAGAACTTGATTCATTCTGGTTATTTTCTACAAAGTGACTAGAAGTACACCGGGAGTACCGCCATTAAACGTACACCGGGTGGAAAAAAATCCTTATTTAGCATATTTGTCAATTGTATAATATTAAATGGTCGCTCAATTTTGCGCTCAATGGGGCGGGGGGCCCAATGGGGCGGGGCGGTTGGGTTGTTGAGTTTGGGTTGGTTTGGGTAATTCATACTAACATTTCATTAATTTTGTTGTTAATTATATTTTAATCACTTAATTCAATTTTAATCAATTTTTATACAACTTGAAAATTAGCTTAATAATTACATAATTAATATCAAGAGTTAACCAGCTGTTTACCAACTGTTATACAACTGGGCCTTAGTGTACCAATTTAATCTCAACCAGAGATAATAATCTCAACTAATAAATCCGAAATTTTACCATCAGCTGGTATGGAAACACGCATGCGCACAAACCTGATGTACTAGACTAGAAGTACACCGGGAGTACGGGCATTAAAAGTACATCAGGTTTGTGCGCATTAGGGTGCTTCATTTTAGAGCGACATTTTTTTTTTCAATGTCCCACCTGAAAATCTTGTAACCGGTCAGAAAACAAAAATTTTGAGGTATTACAAAGCTCTTAATCTTTATTTTAAGCCGTTGCTATTCAATTTTCAAATATTTACCTTTAAAAACCATTAAAAAACAATGATTTATTCTTTTCTCCTTCCGCTTGTACAGTAAGAATATTTTTTTCGAATTTCGGTTCTAAAATCTTCATAGAGGATGAAATTATCTTCAAAAATGTCTATTTAAGCAAGTCTGTAAGTTGAATAGGTTCTTCACAAATTGCCGTTCTACTCGAAAATCATCTAAAATAGTAGTAAATCGTAACTGGAGACTAAACTAT